GACGAAACCAGTCCCCGAATCGCGTACAACGGCATACCAAGATTCTCGACGTATCTGGCCTACAACTCGAATTCCTCTACCACTAAGATTCTATTAGCCAAGGGCACTTCTACATGGATAACTACCTGCAGATGTCTATATGACCGAAATTTGTCCAGTGAACTCTTTCCAGGTTTCTCAACCGATTTTTATCATCTATAGTTCATTCGATACGTAACTTCTTTTTATATTTAAAGATGTGCAAATTCATATTTTTTTCCCGAGTTGACCTTTGACCTGATCCAGATGACCTTTCATATTAATTTTGAACTCAAATTCTTGTCATTCATCATTCGAAAGCCCTCGATTTCCCTTGTTAGAATTTGTTTTTACGTTTTAAAAAATGTTGAAATTTGATCCAGCTGCGGGCAGAGTTGAGGAAGCACTAGCGCCATCTCTGTAGTTTAGTCCTCAGTTGTGCTGAGAAGTGTTCGTCATTCTCATCACCCGTGATTCTCACAGTACCTGTAATATTTCCATAACCATCCTTCGTTCTTTCATCAAAAGCGACTTGTATGATGTGTACAAAGAGATCTAGTTTTTACTTCCGAGGAACTCCCAGCCTCGGTCTACGGACCATACATTGGGCATGGGCAGAGCCTTGGGGAGAGTTACCAAGTGTGTTCGACCATGAATCTTTCTAATAGAGAAACACATTTCCCCTAGCAAATCGCCATCCGGTGATTAAAGTCGAAGGTCACCGCTTTGGAAGGAGTGCCATCAATCGCTTAGTCTTGATTCTGCTAGATAGTGAATTAATTTCCAAAATATGCTACTCTCGGGTGAAAAGGATTTCTGTCGATAGCCTGGATTTAACAGTGTTGGGGGAGGCAGAGGCCGACTCCCTGCCGTTTGCCTAACCTTCCAGGCCTTTGAGGAAGGAAAGTGAAAAACAGGAAACCAGGAAAGGCTGGGACGAGCTAGAACATCACTAGGATAAGTTTATGGAGATGATCTTGAGGCTTTGGACTTGCAAGATCATGTGCATCAGATTCTTACTTTCGGTCCTGAGAGATAATCGACTGGACTTTCAACCAGAGAAACGAATACAGGATCTGTTCTGCACAAAGTTAAGTACAGTAAAAACTCGTCAACTCAAGCTTTTGGGGACTGCGCAAATCGTTTTGAGTCATTCGAAGTTCGACTTATCAGGAATTGCCTCTAACCGTAAAAAAAAAAGGGGGAAAAAATTACTCACGTTAAGGGATATGACGGCTATTTTTTCGTCCTCGAGAATCCGATTTCAAGGAGCGACAACCTTCTCATTATAATTGGCTTTTATTCATGTCTATGGAAACTTTGATACTCCATATTCATCGCAACTCCCTTCATCCGGTACTCCAGAAATAGATATGACTGGAATGGCCGGAAGTGAAAGCGATAGACAGATAGGGAAAGTGAAGAGGCTGCTTCTTTTTTATAGCAGAAGCTTTTCGGTTTTAATCCTCTCCACAGGTGTCTGTGAGGGAGGAGGGGGAAGCAGAAAAAAGAAATGAAACAAAAGGATTTTCTCCCGAACAGGTTTCTTGCCTTTCACCTATACAACAAATGGATAGGTACCACAATAAATTTTCCCCCCTTCACACCCGGATTTCCAGTTAACCATGAGAAAATCGTAATGGGGAGTGAAAATGTCGTTCGATATATCCAGAAATTCGAGTTAAACGGAATATTTAACATGATGTCTTACGGGATTCGGCCGGGACCAAGCACTGAACTTCGGGATAAGCGGAATTTCGACTTAACAGGATTCGAGTTAGCGAGTTTTTACTGTATTTGGGAACAGATAGAACCAGTTGGGTGGAAAAATGAATAAACTTTTCAATATGATCTCAAAAAAATATGGAAAAAGAACAAATTATGCTTTCTTGTCAACGAAAATGCGTATGACTTATTAGGATGAATAACTCAATTCCCCGTAAGAAAAATTATAACGCATTCTGCAGGAAGCAGGGTGCTTTTGACACAAATTGGAAGCAAATCATTTGGACAAGAATTAGGCCTCCAAAAGCACGCTGAGATTCATTAACGAACGAGTTCCCCTCGAGAATTTCTTGGATGTAATCCCTTTGAACAGTGGCGTATTTTATTGGGGGCAGGGGGCAGGGAGCAGCCCCCCCTTCCCGTCCCGTCGCCCCGTGGAGGTAATGTTTTCCTCCCATATTATTACTCGGGTGGGGTTTAGTGTCTCCGCTCTGCTGCCCTGCCTCCCTGACTCCTCAGCTAATATACGCCACTGCCTTTTGAATTATTACCCTATTATCTACACGGAATGCTAATGAAATTAACCCGCTTAAAACTCCCGAGATTATTCCATTCTTACAGATCGACGTATCAATTTCATCACGATATTCCAAGCTTCGAAATTCGCCAGCACTTGAGTCCATATGCCCCCAGGAAGAATCCGATATCATTTACTAAGAGTCCCCCGTCCCACACACACACATTCACTCTCTCTATTCCTGATGGCCGCGCGCAGAGTAAATGCCGCAGATGGCCATGTGCAAGGTCTGGCCATGTGGAATGTGGATGGCAGTCACCGGCTAATGTAGGCTGCATCTATCGAGGAAATGCTTGAACCTTCGCAAGAGTTCCTACCTTCGTTTTCCTTTATCGAACCCCCTCTGTACCTTTGCGATGTCACTGACAGGAGAACGCGCCTTTGCCCAGAAGCTGTCCAAGTAAGAAACATTTCTCATAAAATTGGCTAGGCTATTCCTCATCCCACAAAAAATGTTGTGGCAGAAGCTATGATTTTTGCACAACTTGCCTTAGACCTAGGCCTAATAAATCAATCTGAAGAGCCAGTAGCTGTAGGCCCTCTGCCGCAGACCATTGGATGCCTTGTTGCTTCCTTCCTTGTAACTTGAAAATTTTCTAAACATTCAAAATAATGAATGGTAAAGGTATGTGGTACATGATGAGCATTCAATATAGTATATGCTGCACTCAGAAATTGAGTATATTCATTGTTAAGGTTTTTTTCTTTTCAACTAAAGATATTTACCAAAACAGCAGATTCCAGACTTCAACACAAGCTTGTGGGCATAAACCCTTTTTCTCTAACTTAATAGACCTATTCAAGCGCCTACCATTCCGTTATTCCTAACATTGCCAAATCACCATTTGACTGAAATTGCTAGAAGATACAAACAATATGATATATGGGAAAAAGCCTACCACATACTAATACGTCATCAAGAAGGTTTAGATATGAACGGTTTTTAAATGTAACCAACCCATGATCCCTTGGAATACATAATGCCTCACTCCCTGACTGTGGACTCAGGAGAGAAAGTATTGGATATGTTAAAGAAAGTTCTGTCCACATGAATACTGTGAGCTGATTTTGATCATGATTATCATTGATGCCCACAGTTGCTGCACATAATGATTTCAGATACTGAGAGGGTTGATGAATGTGGGGAAGGAGTGTCCATTGGATGCTAGATTCAGATGCCAATGACAAGTTGAGTCATTAGCCAATGGAGATGCTAACTCCATGACTCTCACTGCTATGTTTGAAAAATTTGAGCATCATCTAGAAGTGTGCACTGTATGTAATGGTGTATCATCACGGGTTACAGTTCTGAGATTTCATCATGATTGTGATTATTAAGACTTGATGAGATGAGCTTTGCAGTGGTGCTTGTTTCCTCTCTCTAAACCAAGCTGTTTTGGAGATTTTATGTACAAATTAGGAAAGGACTTCTGGAACAACCTTTATTATATTTACTGTCTTGCTGCCTGTCATTGACATATGGGAAACTGTTAGTTGAACCATATCAGAACCATGTTAGGAATAATTTCTATACTGGAAATGTTTGTCAAGATATATTGATGCAAAAAAATTGTAAATTCAAGTTTATTTGAAGAATTTCTTGTTTTAGAATATTTTGGCATCCTTTCCTTAATTTTCTCCTCCTCCCCACCCTTAGGAAAGCCATTAATCCCCAATGAAACATTACATTTAGAGGAAAAATACATAGAAGTTCAATAAAGATAAGAGATGAAGGCAGAGAGAGTCAAATGCCTTTATTTTCCCTGGTTTTAGGATTAACCTTTCGTTATTTCAATATTGAAATAATTAAAGGTTAAGGTCAAATTTTGTTTTGAACTTGGAATTTCCCATCCCCTTTTAGTTTTTTTGCTATTCTTGCATCCTATTCCTGTTATACCCATCAGAATCATGAGCAATTTTATTGTGATTCCTACATATGATTCCATTTCAGTTGTTATATCTTCATTTTGATCTGATATACTGATCTATTCATGCAAAAACTGTTAATGCCTTACCCTGGTCTCATCTGTGTGTCTCCAGGCCAGTCACTTTAAGCCTTCATTTTTTGCACCTTTATCTTGTTTGAAGCCCTTGGCAATTAAGTTTCCAATCAGATAAAGTTTTAAATCAAGTTTTTAATCACCAGTCATTATGGAAACTTTTCATTCTCTTTTTTTCATTATCCTTTTCCTTTGACATATCTGTTTTATGATCAGGTACAGCAAGGATGAAGTGTAATGTCTACAGTCTGAATTTCTAAATTGCCTTGTAAAAAATCCTATCCATGCATGTGCCAGTAGGCTTACTGAAATGCAAGTTCATGAGGAGTTTTCCAACCTACATGGAAATCATATTCTAACTAGGTAAATAGATACTCTAGAGCAGGGCTTTTTTACATGCAACCCCAAAAGTCACAATCATACCATTCAGGACCCCAATCACTGGCCAAAGTTCAATGTGTTTTCCCACCTATGCACTAAAATAGCAAAGGAAAACATAACTTGGCATTTAGCTGCCAATTCGCAACTCCAAATATGATCTTGGCAACCCCAAATGGGGTCATGACCCCAGGGTTGGGAAGCCCTGCTCTAGAGTTACGGAAAAGCAAGCATTCTCCAAATTTACTTTAAACGGGAGCATTGTTATTAGTACAGACGAAGGCTTCTATCAATGTATTTTAATGCAGAATAGGTCTCTTTGACTCCTATTCTTCTGAAGTTCTGGAGATGATCTTTTTAACTTTCATCCAAGCTTGTTATGAAATAAAATAAAAAACTGGACTTATAGGAGACATGCAGCAGAAGTGAGGAGGCAGGTGGCATCTTCGTCCCTGAGCAGCCGGGAGCTGTCACGAAATGTCTCCACCACCAGTCTCCCTGTCATTGTAAGTTATCACCTCTCTGCAGATACTGCTTGGAATTCCACAAAATTACTGTCAATGGGAATCATTGCATAATATTACTCTGTTCCTCTCTCACATGAGGAAACAATTTTATAAGGCATGTGGATTTTGAGCTTTGCAACCAATGAGGATACCCACTCTGTTTGAAGTCATTTTATTGAGATTTTGATTCAATACAGTGTTGTTTTCCAAGTTAGAAAATGATGAGCCCAGTTTTTGAGCAGCTTTTGCTACTCAAAAACTGGTAATCCTATGACTACTTTTAGTGGAGACCTGTTCATATCCTATAAGATTTTCTTCTTGCTGCCAACAGAACATTCCCTTGTATGATGTGGTGGAGCCACCAGACTTTGAGGAAACTCTCATTCAGCATCATATGGCTAATGATGATCCCATGATGCGCTTCCTTGACTTCCCCCCAGATGACATTGAAGTCTGTGTGATTCCAAGGTCTTGTCGCACACTTCATCCTCTGGTCCCGGATGATCCAAATAGGTTGGCCTAAGCTATGATTAAGTTGTTCTCAATCCTCTCTGCTTGCACCAAGGTGGAAATAAACGGTGGTTGATTATCCCTTAGTGTGAATGTGAGTTTGCGACTGCGGGACACTGTCAGCAGTTACTCTCGCGACTGGGTTGGTGTCCAGAGAAGATATCAGGAGCATAGCAGCAGCCTTGTGTCTCCACGACAGATGGTTGATCGAACAGCATCCCTTCGTGGCCCCTTTCCTAAACAAGAATTTGAAATTGATGCATTTGCACCAGATACCATAGATGATTCTGGATCTGAAGAAGACAGTGAAAAGGTGAGTGGGTGATGTTATGATGTATCCTCTGTTGTGCTGAGAGTCAATTCAGTCAGGCTTATTTCTTCAACAGAGTGCTTCTCAGAGGAACTCCATCTATCAAGGCCAGACTCCTCGAGGAAGCTGGGCATCAAGTATCTTTGATCTTCGCAATTCAGAAAGCGATCCTCTCATCCCTCCAATTCTGGAACGTCTTCCTCCTGAGACTTTGGATGAGTCCAACAGTCGACAGAGGACTGAAAAGCGACAAGATTGTCTCTTCCTTCTTCATCCCCCACCCATTCCCAACTTCTCTGAAGCAGGTGGAAGTGACTGGACTGAATGCCGGATTCCTGCTGACATTCCAGCAGAGCACATGGGTCAACGAATTCTTGTCAAGTGCCTGGAACTCAAGTATGTTTTCATTATACTCTTTCAGTGAGAATTTTACATTTTGTGGGTTTAGTTGGTGCAGTTATGGGATTCCTTTTTTTTTGCAGGCTGGAATTGTCCATTGAACCCATCTTTGCCAGCATGGCCCTTTTTGATGCTCGAGAGAGGAAGAAGATCTCTGAAACTTTTTATTTTGATATGAATCAGGAAACAATGAAGCGGATGCTCAGGTCTCACATCCAATATCAGGATACAAGCACTCTGAGTCGATCCTGCATCTTTGATGTCACATACCCCACCACTGACATCTTTCTGGTAATCCGTTTAGAGAAGGTCCTTCAAGGGGATATTAGTGAAGCTGCTGAGCCCTATCTCAAGGACAATAAAGATGAAAAGGTATATTAACTGACTCTGATGAGGAAGTTTTTTTCCACTTATTTGCAAAAAGTTCATTGTTCTGGAATTTGATTTATAGATGCGGGAGAAGATTCGTTCTAATGCAGTGGCTTGTTGTGACCGCCTGGGACTGTATCGCATGCCCTTTGCCTGGACTTATATTTCCTTGAATCATGTTGTCCAAGGTATGAATTCCTGGGATAAAGACAAGGATCGAGATTCTGGCAGTGACAAGGGCAGTTCTGCTAGCTTTGGTAAGCAGCAAAATTCTTATCTGCTTAATAGTATAATGGTGTGCACCTAAGACAGATTTAACTTGCATCAGAGAGGAAGTCGAGTAACAGCAGCAGCTACGATCCAGTGCAACGAAGGAAAGGTCTCAATGGAGCAGGTGGAGATATTGGAACATTGCCACGTCGTGGATCTCTAGAAAGACGATCGGTGAATGAGAAGGATAAACGGCGCAGTTGGTCTCCTGATGATTTGGCACTTGGCCTTGACTCCTTCCGTCCTGTTACACTCACTGTCTCCAGCTTCTTCAAGCAGGTCATCTGGGATCCTTACTTTCCATCATATCTGATGAAGATTTAAATCATTTTTGGAGTTGTGAATTAGTTATGATGAGTCAGAAATCTTGATTTCATAACCATGGGGCTCATTTTTAAAGGCATTTTCTTAAAAACTTGCCTGGAACACATTTTATGGAAATCTTGATGATTGATTCTGACTAACCTGATAATTGTCTTTTGAGGATTTCTCTCAATTGTTGAATTCTCCTGCCCAAACTCTAGTATATTTCTGATAACAGAGAATTTCTTTCTTGAATTTGATTTTTTTATCTTGGTAAACCCTGGGCAGAAAGTAATTGGAAATTGAGAATTTTGGAGGTATTCCAGTCCCCCAGTGTACAATTTTTTTTACTAAAGTTAATGAAATTGAACACCCAGGAAGGAGACAAATTGAGAGAAGATGATCTCTTCAAGTGGCTTCAAGACTACAAACGTCCAACATCTTTGCTCAAGCGACTGAAGTGCATTCCAGGGACACTGAAGCTTGACATTGCTCCTTGTCCTCATGAGCTGAAGTACTGCCTTACACCAGAGCTTGCCCAGGTCCATCCCTATCCAGGTTTGAATTCTTCCTCTTTTTTAAAACAATAACCAATATGTGTCTTCTCCCTTGATGAAAGTAAGCATGAAGGTTTTGGGTTTTGGACTCTCTGATTGGGACACTTCCTTACTATTCATTCTAGACGGAACCAATGAAGAGCTTGAGGAAGAGTGTAAGTGTGGACTGTGTGCCCCTGTTGGCTTTTCCTTCGTGTTCTGTGGTCCTCTTCTTATTTTTACCCATCTGTGTGGACTCTCCTGCCTTTTGTTACTGATTACCCCTCTTTTATCATTGATGCCTTCCATTTCTTGCTGATTTCTAATTCACCTTATGGTTCATATTCGCTCTCTCTTGCTTTTTCAAATATCTCTTGAAATGAAGAGTGTAGAGACTATATTGACATCTCAGGTCTCTTTTTTTTCCCACTATCCTCACAGTACTCAGTAGCATGCATATTGGTGTTTGTTTCTATTCTGGTGCAGTTCAGACTTAAATCTGATGCATGGTACCTATGCTAAATTTGTATGGGATTTGAAAAGGAACTCAAATTCCTGATGGGAAATTTGATTAAACTGTAATTTCTGGGAGACTAAATGAAAGTTCTTTTTTTCAAACACAAGTAATATCAATTAGCCACCAATTGGCCTATCATGATGTGAAGTACCCTTCTGAAGAAAGCATAGATATAAGTCAATTATGAGATCTTTTGCAGAGCACATTGCAATGTGTGTTTAATATCTATGTGTAAAGAAATTAATTTTTAAAAATAAAAACTTACAACTATCATCTATCACAAAAATTGAAAGTCTAAGGATTAAGTTTGAGAGAAAGAATCTTTCATGTATTTGAGCTTTTGATTGTATATTTCATTTTCATAGCATTGATATCTTTGTATCCCTTTTTTTCTTGGTCCTTTTGATTCCTTATGTCTCACTTTTTTGTATCAGATGACAAATGTCGGCCAACCAAAGAGATTTTGGAGTTCCCTTCACAGGAACTTTACCTCCCACACTACTCCTACCGCAATCTCCTATATGTGTATCCACGAGATGTCAATTTTACCAATCGACCTGGTCAGTACAGCTCAAATGGCAATCATTCTCTGTATATTTCATGATATGAAATGAGGAATTTATGATCCACAGGTTCATCTCGGAACATCACTTGCAAAGTTCAGCTTCTGGCTGGGGAAGATGAAACTAGGCAGAGTCTTTCAGTGGTGTTTGGTCGCTCCTCTTGTCCTGAGTTCTCCCATTATGCCTTCACATCCATTACATACCACAACAAGTTAGATCATATTGCTATACTTTTAATCCCTGTATCTGTACACCATCCAGGCATGATGTTCTTCCTTATATTCAATACTTCTAATTTGGTTAATGGGTGCACATGATGGCTTTTAATCAACCATCACTCTGGAGCCCCAATTTTCGTAGATGCAATATTGATGAGCAAAATAAGAATGTTGTCTACAGCCTGTTTTGAACTTGGGATGGGCTATTGACACAACATCCTTAGTTTTATTGGGCTTCTCAAATGGCTCTCCCATCAAGGATCATGAACCACATCTCAATGTAAAAGTATTCTTCTGTATCTTCTGTCAGGCATATTCTGATGAAGAGATATCTCTTCCTTCCACAACCTGGCATAGGAGCAAAGATATTAACTGTTGCTCATTCAGCCTGGAGCATTTAGAAATCAGGAATCTTCATCCTAATTAGCAGCAGTAGTTCATGTATCCTTTGTATTTTTTCACAAAATGTGCTGTTACTTGGAAAATTAGCTCAATTCAGAAATTTTCCTTTATACTCTACTCAACACTTTCCTGTTTTCTTTTATTATTTTAAGAGACACAAAGCCTAATGTCTGGAATTTCCTTCAAATTACCATCCATCCTGGTTCAATTGTCATGCCTTACAAGTCTAACAATATTTCAGTCCCTATGCTTTCTATTGTCCTTGGAATTTTTCTTATTTTGTACTTTCTTTTTACAGTGATTTGAATTCATTATTATCACTTGTATTTACTTTAGGAGTCCAACATTCTATGATGAAGTGAAGATGAAGTTACCTGCCATCCTCACAGAGCAGCATCATCTCTTTTTCACATTTTTTCACATCAGTTGCCAAAGAAAGGATCCTCAGGCTCCAATTGAGACTCCTATTGGATATTCTGTGAGTCAGCCCCACTAGTCACAAAGTGCTGATTTTAAATTGAGTGCTCAAAAAGTCTTGAAGCTGTGGACAAGACTTATTGAACACCAAAAGAAAGAAGGGAAAGATGCATATGTAAATAATGGTGTGTAATGTATAGGAAATTTCATGGGAAAGTTTGTGAAGGTGCACAAGTGATGGGCTGCTTATAGACAGAGGCATCCCCAAGCATATTCATGTGTCTCAAGTGGTCCACCCCTTGTCTGCATATTTACCATCAAGTCATGGCTCTAACATTACTGAATCTCATGGAACAGTCATCCATACAATATAGTGCTGTCACCTTTGCCATGCATAAAAACCTGGCTTCATGTGCCTGATCTCCCTAAGTGGACTTGAATCTGGGTTCCCATTAGGGGTTAATAATGCTGACCCAAAATCTGAGGCTCAGGCCATATTGAAAAGAGGTTTATTTTATCATTTCAACTAGCTTGTGAAATTTGCATGGAGGGGTCACCCATAACTGTCAGAAAATGTGAAAGACACAGTTCACTCCATTCCAAAAATTCCTCCCAAACAAATCAAATGCCAGTCAAAAATTTGCAAGGTTTTATTGAGCATCACTCATGGAATAAAAATGACATTTTTAGCAACAGGAAATTATCAAGGTCCATGACTTGTTGAACACTCCACCTACTGTGTGATTGCTAAGTAGAAATGGGGAATAAGATTTTCAGCTTCAAATAGAAATTCTTTTAGTAAAATTGAGTCAAGTCCAGAGATATTAGTGAGTGATTACCAAGTGAGCTTGTAGAAGAGTCTGAAGAATCTGCTAGACAAGTTGCAGTGATGCTACTGCTGGGAATACAAGTCCAACAAAAGCTTGGGTTGTTGGAGAGCATAGAATAACAGTTCCCAACCTATGAGTCACAACCCACTCCTGTGTCAATGTGAGGTCTTTGTCATGTATGGCATTTTTCCACCTGTATTCTTTTCTATTGGTTAACAACCTTCCTTACCAGTTACAAGAGTCTTGAATGAGAATGAATTGCTTTGTCATAAAGTTTGGGAACTGGTGGTATAGGAACTTAACTCACATCTCCAGACAAACACAGTAAATGGAATTTTCCTTTTCCTATGGCTTCCCAGTGGTTACCATTGTATCGCAATGGGCACCTAGTTTTTGGAGACCATTGCATTCCTGTTGCTATGGAAAGGCCTCCTCCAGGCTATTCCAACATTCCTCCTGATGGAAACATGATGGGCATCAAGTGGCTTGACAACCGGAAAGGTCTTTTCAGTGTCTCTGTACATCCTGTATCTTCTGTCTACTCTCAGGTGTGAATCTTAATGCTACCCTTTTTCATTTCATCATGGGCTCTACTTCATTCTAATGCATCTGTTATTCTCTTTTTTGGTCAGGATCAAATGGTGGAGCACTTCCTGAATCTCTGTGCTGATCTTGAGGCTGGAATTCCCCCTAGCTCCAATCCCTCTGCCATTGAGATGGAGCTAAAAAAGAGGTGAAATTTAAAAAAAAACCTTTTTCTCTGGGGTTGTCAAAAGTGATTTCAGTTTTATGTGTTTTATATTTCCAGCATTGCAGATCTTCGCTATGGGAAAGCAGAAGCTCTTGTATCCTTTCTCCCATTAATCCTGGACAAGCTTCTCCTCTTGATGGTGAAGCCAATTGTCCTTTCAGGCGATTGTCAGCCCTTGAAGGTGTCCCAGATGGCATTTGAGGGCCTTGTCTCCATCATTCACTGTGTCTCGGTTGGCCCCATTTTTTAGCTTCATTCTATTATATTATATTGTACTGTAGACACTGCTGTGACCTCTTGGCATTAGCCATAGGTTCATATGTGCAAATTTTAGTAGGCATGGCCTAATGCTCTTTGAAAATTCTAGTAAGCCTATTCTGAATGAGGGCATGTTATGCTAGTGATTTCATAAGTTCAGGCCCATATTGATCAACAAAAATAATCTAGCAGTTTTCCTATAAATCTCCTGTTATGATGTAACACCTGCTCTTGTCAAGGACAATTATTTTATAGTTCACCTTGAGGGATTGTATACAATTGAACCCTTGTATGAAAGGCTTAGAAATGATAAAACTCAACATGACTATGCAGAACTGCAGCTGAGGCTCTCTCTTGTCCTTTTCATGAGTATGGTAAATGAGTTGAAGTACATTGGCATGTTTGTTTGGCAGATTCTGTTGGAGAATCAAAAGGATCAGCATGGGCGGGCACATTTGCTGACCAGCTATGTCCATTATCAGGCCACACTCCCCCATCCCAATCCCCACCAATCTCAATCTCAGCCATCTTCTCCTACACGCCATTATTCTAGGTCTTTTGTGCTCCATATCTCTCTGAGTTTTCATCTTGCATGCTTTATATTTTATTCATCTGTCATTGTAGGAGCACAAGCAACCCAGACATGAATGTATTTCCTGGTTTCCGACGTGGCATTGATCGCACCTCCAGCCTTCGTTCAGGTCAGTAAATGATCATTTTCAATAGATCAGGAAATGGTATTTATATTAATGGTGGTTCTTTGCATGAAAAAGACCTGGCATTCTTGAAGTAATAAGACAACACAATGGCATTACAATATTAATCTTTCCTTTGAAGAAAATTTGGGATTGAACAATATTGCCTAAGAATCTGTAAACAGCTTCTCTTTCCTCTTATCTTCAGAGAAACTCTTAAAAGTCTCTCCTCCTTCAGTGCCACCCCCCAATGAGATAATAATGGGTTAATCCCAAAGTGGATCCATAAAAATAGGGATTTCCATCCTGTACCTTTTATCTCAAATGAAACTTGGTGCAAGCAAAAGTCTCATGACACCAAGTTCCCTTATTATTGCAACACTTGTTCCAAGCTGACCTCTGATATTTTCCATTCGTGGAGTCTTACTTATGGGGTGCTTGTTCTGTATGTTAAATTGCACAAGCATCCAATTTAAAAATCTTGGCATGATGTCAAGATTTTTTTCTTGATTCTTTATGCTTTCCTCTTAGGCTACAATCAGTTGATGCAGCCTGAAATTTAGGTAGGGTATCACATTCCTCAGTCTGTTCAAATGCTGCAGTATTTGTATTCTTTAGTGGAATTTCACATCATTTGTACACAGAGATGTCTCAATTATCTTTCATTGGGAAACAGACCCTCCATTTCTGCAAATTTGAGTTATTTTCATTCTTTTCATGTGTCTGTGGGAAATATTCATGCAGACTTTTTATTGTTCTTGTAATTCCACAATATTTGTGCTTTCAGGTCCTGCCAGTCCCACACATTTGAAGAGTGGAACTACAGTTCGAAAAGTGCACGAGGAACTGGCTCTCCAATGGGTTGTTGCCACAGGGGAGGTTAGGGACCTTGCACTAAGCAATGCCTGGTATGCCCTTATCATTTTGTAAAGGTTGTTCCATACACCCTGTTACCCTGTGTGTTTTTTAAGATGAGAAGATTAATTATATTTCTCATGTGATGCAATAGAACATGAACATGGTTTATTTTGCTATGCAGATCACGTTTGGCATGTAACATGTAATTACAATATCAATTTAACTTACAATAGGAGTCAGTGTGTTCACCATCACTTTCACAACAGAAAGTGATGCATCACCAAGTTCTGTGTGACATCCTCTTTAGTATTGCTGGAGTAACCTGGTGGAATGCATTTGTCACAGCCACTTTTAGCTCTTTAGGGCTGACCCTATTAATAGTTAATTTGACATTGTAAATATATGCTACATGCTAAATGTAATCTAAACAAAATGAGCCATGCTCATGTTCTATTGTATCACATAATTATAATTAATATATAATAAGAAGCACATATGGGTAACAGGACATATGGAACACTCTGTAGACGTTGGCTCAAGAATAACTATTAGTCATTCTCTAGTCTTCTCTTTTGTACTTGCTCAGGTTTTTATTCGAGCTAATGGTGAAGAGCATGACGGAACGCTTGAAGGTAGAGGGGCATTTGGATGAAGGTTCTCCAAGGAAGATGCGCTTCCCAGGAGAGTTCACTGAAGACATCCAAACTCTCTTTGCCACGTTAACCTCTGACATTATTGCACGCTACCGTGATTCCCAGAAATTCAAGGTAGGCATCTTTTCAATTCCCTTCGCTAAGAAAGTGATAGCTTTCACCCCTAAGTTTTTCCATCTACTCCTTTGACTCAAATAAAAACCTCTTTTGATGTTCTCTAATCAGTAGAACAACTTTTTGCCCTGTTGGTCAGTTACTGGCACAAGCTTGAATGTATGTATTTATGGATTTGTCTCCTTGTGATGTTATTCTTGAGTGTCTGAAGCTTCTTTTGTAGTCGGTGAAGCGATTGAACAGCAGTCTTGGATTCTTTGTGTATGATCTTCTGTCCATTATGGACCGGGGATTTGTCCTCTCACTGCTCAAGAATTACTGCAAGCAGGTGGGGACCAAGATTGCTGCATTGCCAGAAGCCTCCCAGCTCATGTCACTCAAGGTCTGTTTGGTGCATTCAAACTCTCATATTAGGTCAATCAACACTACCTGATGGTGACAGAATGTTGGATGCACTGTTGCAGCTGGATGTGATTCGAATTATATGCAGCCATGAGCACTTCATAGCACTGAGCCTCCCATTTGGAAGTGGTCTAGCAGCAGGCCATCGGCCTGTTTCCCCAAGCCCCTCTGTGTTGTCTGCCCTATCTCATGCTTCCTGGGCATCAACCCTTCCATCCAGTCATGATCAATGGGCACTAGCTTCACTCTCATCCGAATTCAGACACCAGCACTTCTTGGTTGGACTCGTCCTCTCAGATCTTGCCACTGTGCTTGACATGGAGTAAGAAAAAATTGGTCCAGCTGTAAGGCATTCTAAAAAAATTGGATTCCTTGATATCATCTCTAGGAACCTTCCATCTCCTCTAGTCATGTAATCACATTGTTATTACTGACTACCTGATTTCAGTTATCAATATTAAAACAAATTGCTGATAATAATAGAATGTTATTTTGTTACCCAAAAGGAACTAACAGGTTAGACTGTTCCCATACTTTTGAGGAGGGACTCAATGACAATTTATTAGTCTGTACTTGAACCCAAGTTAATGAAATTCCAGGATATTGTGCATTACATGGGGTTTGTGTTTTTTCATCATGGAATAATATTTTTTTTGTGCCTTACCTTACTTGTAGAAATGGGCATATTCATGCCCAGGCAGTGGGGATGCTGAGGGATCTGCTCAGTTGCCACGATGTGGACCCAAGGTACAAGGAACGGGCAGTAAAGGCTCGTGTTGCCCTCTTGTACCTCCCCCTGGTCAGCATTGTCCTTGAAAAGCTCCCTCTCCTCCATCAGTGGAAAGGGCTTGGTGTGTCCATTCATCTTGGTTCTTTTTCTTTCACTATGCTATGATTCTGCTTCTATCAGGTTGTAAAGGTGAAATTTAGACATTTTCCAGAATACAATTTATTGACAATTAACTCAACAACAACTAGAGTACAGTCTTGCGTCAATGTATCTGTTGTAGGTTCACGATAAGCACTCATGCCCACAATGCCCACTGGTCACTCTACTTATACACCTACATAGAAAGTTCTAACATTTTCCAGATTTTTCTAGAAAAAATCGAAATGTCTAAATTTCACCTTTACAACCTGATAGATAGTCATGGCTTACTTACTTGTGCATGTTATCTATAAGTCATTATGGTCAATTTTTATTTCAGTCGTTTGCCTGTTATGATCATATCTTTATGTCTGAAAACATTTTTTATGTTTCACAGTGGGGCTACCTTTAATTGACTTTATGGTTATCCTTTGTCATCCAGGGAATTTTTCAGAGGATGAAGACCCAAGTGCAGGTATTCATCAGTCTGTTGCCTTGGCAATAGCAGGCACTAGTATGTTTGGGAGAAAAGTTGGTGAAACACCCCCCGACCGGGTCTCCCAGGTCATTAGATTTCCATTTTTGTGCTGTAATATATTCCTTTTCCCTGGAAATCTCCACCAGTTTCTCTCATTATATAGCCAGCACAGAACCGCATAGATGGAGAAACCACAAAGGACCTTTTAGTTTGTTTCTTGTGGGTGTTGAAGAATGTGGATTCAAGTCTCCTGCGTAGCTGGTGGTCTGACTTCTCACCTCAGCGACTGAAACAGCTTCTTGAGGTCCTTGACCTTGGTATTGCATCCTTTGAGTATCAGGTAGAGCTACTATGAAGCATTCTAAGTTTTTCCCTGATGCCTAATACAGATACTGTATTGCTTGAGTGGATTCAACCTCATTTTTACAGGGCAAAGTGGAGGTGCCACGTAGGACCCAGTCAAGCTTTCGCAAGCCTGGTGATGTAAAATCAATTCTTCAGGAAGTGATTCTTGGCCAGGGATCTGCACGCATGGAATTGATCCGACGCAAGACCTCTGGTTTGGCTCTTTCACAGTCCCTTCAATTTATTTATTTATTTAATCTCTTTTTGTTGAATGAGTTGGTGAAAAATGCTGCAATTCAACTTTTTCCTCATTTCATGAGTTGCTAGCATCTGTCTCCATTTGCAATGAGTGTCATGGCCCAAAGAAATTATTCCAGACTGAAAAATCCAATTCTGAACTCCTGAACAGAAACCCTGACAAAGGAAGCAGCGAAGGAAACCTTCAAGGAGTTTTAGCTGTATTTGCGTTGCTTTCTTCTTCTGGGGATATTACCATGAAGATGAAAGATAAAATGTTGAACTCTACTCAAAATTCCTGATGAGGGGGATGTGAGTGATATGATAAAGTGAGAAATATAATGTGTGCAATAAATGCTTGTCATGCAGAGAAGGACTTGCCAAGTGTGCCAGGTCCAGGAGAGAGGCTACGTTGGAGGAAGGAGTTGACACAGTGGCGTCCACCAGTTGACCTTGGTGAGCGTCCTTCAGTCCTAGCTGACAGGGATCCCATTCTCTTAGGAAATCTCTCCACCGAATGCAATCTCATCATCTTGGATCTCTTAGAACTTATCATCAGTGTGAGTCCTCTCTGCTTTGTATTTTTTCTTTCAAGTTATTGTGCATGTTTCAGCACCCAAGTGAAGCACTGTAAATTATGTTGGATGTACCAATAGATTCAGCTCAGGAAAAAGAAATTTGCTCTTATTGAAAAAGAACATTTTTAATCATGCAAAAGTATTTTAACAAGTCTTCTAATTTTTTTATTTTTTTGTTTTTCAAAAATTTCAGTTTAATCCTTTCACTATTTTTGCTTTTCTCAAACCTTTTTTTGAATTGTTATCAATTTTTTTCCCATCCAAGACAAAAGGCATATCTGACATGAAATACCTGACTCCATTTCTTCTTTGTTGGACTCTGGGTCTGAAGAGGATATATAACCTAATTTTTTTATCTTGTAACCTTCTCCATCAAAAATGTCAACGAGGTGTGGTTTTTTTTTTGTATCCTTTGTTGCAATTCCAGCAAGAAAGTTACAATGTCTCCTGCTTGGAGGAGCACATGACTGACTCAGAGTGCACATGTTTGCTGCTCAAACAGAACCTTTTCTGAGAATTATTGATCCTTCAAGGCTATGTCTTGCTGGAAACCATTTCAGCAAGACAAGAGGATTTGGCAGTTTTGACCTCCAGCTGCAAACAGGAGGGTAAAGGAGGTTATTATTATTTGGCTGTTAACTGTTTCAGTGCCATCAGGCCAACGGCCAGTAGGTGCCATCAGCCTGATGGCACTTAAACAGTTAAGACATGTCCTTGCTAAACTGATGGACCCTGTAGAGAAAGGTTTTGGTTTTGCCAAATTGGCTTATTATTGGATAATTGTTGGTTATCCCTAAATTGAACTAATGTCACAATATGGTGACAAATCAGATTCTTTTCACTGAAACAAGCTATAAACCCAATGCACATTTCTACTGACTTCTTTGCTCTCTTATTAAATGCACCTGTGCATGGATGATGATCATTTTCCTAAAAGACTTACTCTTACTCAGTTTATGTGAAAGTTTATTTCTCTAGCATGTATGTAAGTCATGACAAGCCATTTCTTGTTTCTTAAAGAACTGCTATGTGTTCTGTGCATCAGTAACATGCCCAGCAATTTTTTAAGATGGGGTGCAGTCCACACCAGCTTCACAATAACATTGGGTAATGTGCTGATTGCCTCTCCAAACACTTTTGATGTTCATATGTGATCTATGATAATGCCATAGGATGCTAGTTGTCCCATCATCTTGAGTCACAGGGCTGATGAGAAAATTATTTTATCCATGCATTGATGTAGATTTGGTTTTTTGCAGGTGGCAGGCCATTCAGATGATCTTCATGGCCTCCTGGGTCTTGTATTGAAGGTCCTCCTTCATGCCTTGGCCTGCAATCAGAGCACCCACACACTCACCAATCTCTTTGCTACACAACGAACCCTTGTCTTCAAGGTATGCATCTTGCCGAAATAGAATATTACACAATGAAATTCAGTTTTTAAGAAAGTAGCAAAATATAAATCATTATTGGAATTCAAGAGATTGGTTATTATAGACCAACTAAAAGTCAGTCTAGCATATGTCTATGCATGAAATTTAACATCTTTATCCATTAATATTCTTTTGACATCTAAACTCATGGAGGCATTGCATGGTGCCATTTTAGATACTATTTAATAGTGAGAACTTAATGGTCATCTATAAATCAGTTTACTGCCTTGGCTTTTTCAAACAATAGGCATAGGTGTGATTGAAGGCAATAGACCTAAGTCATCCCAACATGAACATAGCCAGTTTTTGAGTTTTGAAGTGCTCCCCTGGCTATCATCCTTGAACCCAATCTCAGGTCAAGGGTGTGTATCAGAAGAGAGCAAGAGCAGAGGCTCATTTGGGGATGAGGTCTCCTGAGTGTTCGACACCTCTCATTTGGGAGTGGGCCAACAACCTTCTTATAATTGCATGCTTTATCTTTTCAGTTTCCCAATCTGCTTTTTGATGAAGAGACAGAACTGTGTGCAGACCTGTGTTTGCGACTGCTGAAACATTGCAGCTCCCGCATTGGAACAGTACGGTCCCACGCCTCTGCCTCCCTCTACCTCCTCATGCGACAGAACTTTGAGATTGGAAATGTATGCTCCATCAACATGCCTTCTTTTCAATTTGCCTCCAGTTTTTCCAGTTCATCTAATGTACTTTTATCATGTTATATGCAGAATTTTGCAAGAGTGAAGATGCAGGTGACAATGTCCCTCAGTTCTCTGGTGGGAACAAGTAGAATCTTCAATGAGGAATTCCTTCGACGCTCGCTCAAAACAATTCTAGTTTACGCTGAGGAAGACTCAGAACTCCAAGATACTTCATTTCCTGAGCAGGTGACTTCTCTTCACTTTTACAGTGTAAATATATTAATTTAAAAATATGATTGTAGCATTCCTTTATTTTCTTATACAGGTGCGTGACCTGGTGTTCAATCTGCACATGATACTGTCAGACACAGTGAAGATGCGAGAGTACCAGGAAGACCCTGAGATGCTTCTAGACCTCATGTACCGCATTGCAAAGGGCTATCAGAACAGCCCGGACCTTCGTCTCACCTGGCTCAACAGCATGGCTCAGAAGCACTGCGAGGTACTGCCTGCAGATCCATTTTCTAGGAACTGGGCACAAATACTCTTCATGCAACCCTCTTGTATTAATTAATTTCAGAGGAAGAACTATGCTGAAGCAGGTATGTGCCTTGTTCACTCAGCAGCCTTGGTGTCCGAGTACCTCTACATGTTGGAAGAACAGCCTTATATGCCTATTGGTAAAGTTCTTTATGGAGTTTCCTCATCAAGTTGGGATTTTTTATTTTTGATGGATAAAACTCTCCTGGTTGGTTGATGGTTTATCAAATTGTGATATCTCTTTCAGAATGTCATATTTTACATGAATTTATTCTTAAACACCTGGTATTTCAATGAACCATTGGTTCTCTCTACTGTATGCATTTGATTATTCATGTTGACGTAATTGTTAAGTTGTATTAGGACCTGTTTTTATTCTGTTGCAATCATTACCTATATAAATGGTAAAGAAGCATCATAGGATTTCTCATTTATGCAAAATAGGAGCTGTTAGTTTCCAGAAGGTCTCTCCAAATGCCCTGGATGAGAGTGCTGTGTCTGAGGATGTTCTCAGTCCTGATGAAGAGGGTGTTTGTTCAGGAAAGTACTTCACCGAACAGGGCGTTGTTGGCCTCCTTGAGCAGGCTGCTGATCACTTCAATAATGTATCCACTTTCTGTTTCACCTTATCACATATGTTTATAATTTCTCAATGCATATGCCCTCTATGTAATTTCCAGGCAGGGATGTTTGAAGCAGTGAATGAAGTCTACAAGGTCCTTCTCCCAATTTTGGAAGCAAGTCGAGACTTCAAGCGCCTCTGCTCCATTCATGGGTAAGTGTGAGATTAGGAGTGAGGAGCTCAGAAGTGAGAACCTAGATTTTCTTTCAGAGTAAAGCATACATTCTGTTTAACCTTCATTTAATTTAAGTTATATCTATGTCACAGGTAATTTTGATACCTAGAATTTATTCTTTTACTGTTTTACTGTATTTCAGTTTGCAGAAATTACTCTTGTATTTTCTGCAACTGCAATGAGAATGCATGAGCATTTTCTTCTTTGTGTCTAGAAACTTACATGGAGCATTTAATCGAATTGAGGAGCTTCAAGGACAAGGGAAGCGGGTATTTGGGACCTATTTTCGAGTGGGTTTCTATGGGTCCATGTTTGGAGATGTTGATAGAGAGGAGTTCATTTACAAAGAACCCCCATTGACCAAGCTCTCTGAGATCTCCCACCGTCTTGAGGTTTCCACAGTTGCTATTCAAGGTCCTATAAGTGTGTGCATCCAGGAATCACTTGAATCTGTCTTTTGATTAGAGTTTTTATATGGAGCGGTTTGGACCAAACCGAGTGATGATGATCAAGGACTCGAATCCAGTGGAATATTCTCAGCTACTTTCTGAAAAGGCCTACATCCAGATCACATATGTGGAGCCATATTTGGAAACATGGGAATTCCGTTACCGTGTCACTGCCTATGAACAGAACAACAACATTCGTGAGTTCTTGTCTTCTTTTCTGCCTTTCCCTGTAATGGTGTGGCACTTGTAGAAGTTGCCTAGACTCTCCATTAATTATAGGTGTGCTTCATTTTCAGTATTAACCAAAGTTATTTTATCACTTTGGATTATCAAATTCTTCTGGCCTTTGCACAGCTTGTGCATTGCATAAATATGTGTATAAAATATCAATGTCAACTTAGTGTAAAAGTTCAAGGTGAACCAGCAATTTTGGCCTCCACTACATATTTGTAGCTGGAAGAAATTATTGTTATATTCACATCTATAATGAACACTGGAAGCAGTTATAAATTTTATAATACATTAGTAGCCAGGGGGGGAAACATAAATTTCTGAATTTCTTAATATACGAGGATCATTCGATAATTATTGGCAACACTGCAGCAGTGCAACGCTCCATATTGGAGTTGGCAGGAAACAGCCTGTGTGTGAAAGAGTGAATCACGCTACATGCATCAGTCTGTTTTTGCAAGTATACGCTCATTGTTAGTGCTGCAACAGTGGTATGAAACATTAGTTGTCACGTGAAACCGCCCTAAGGCATGTTCAGTAGGTACGAGCAACGTTGCTTCATTAAAATCCAGGTTG